TAAAGTCCAAAGTTTTGTCTTGGAGACTTGGGGAGCTTTTTGTCATGGAAACCACCGAGATGTGTACTCCTGAGGGGCCTGGGGGCCATCTTCTTTCCCAATGACTATGGTCACAGGACTAAGAAGACCCTTCTCTTGGGGTTAAAAGGGACCTTTTCCCCAAAAGAGTTTTATTACTTCCCTGGGTACCTGGCTGGCTGTCAATTATGCCATGCTATGCTTTCCGTGCAATTAGTGTTGGGGGTACTGTTTCTGGGACCCCCTTGGCATACTGTGCATAGTCAAACTATGTGCAGGGAGTGAATTCCAGCATATGTGGGGTTAGGAAACATTTCTTTCTGTTACAGATTTCCTGGCATCAACTATTGTTTGCTGTAATTAGGTTTAGGTGATAAACACTTTGTTTAATCACCTCCAGAGTGCATACTGCTAGGTACCAGGAAGGAATCCATTGTTTTTTTGTGTTTGATTGTTTGTTAATGTAATTGTCTCCTGGGTCTTGTAATGTGTGCCATACTTTTTTAAGGGGAAGGTATTTGTATATAAATGCTGTCCTGTTTGTTAGTCCTTGTTTTATTCCAACATTGGTACTGTCTGATGTTTAGGGTAAATTTGCTATATTCTGGTTCCAGAGTGGGAGAAGCTGTAGTTTGGCAGAGATACCCAGACAGGGTGTCAGGAGGTTCATCACAATCTTTCGTTAGTTCTGTCACAGTGACAACAGAATTATCATTATATTGGAAATATCTCCACAGGCTCACTAACGGCTGATCCAGATATGCAAGTTATATCTCGTTGACCTGGTCCCTTATTGTTCTCTTGTGCTTATGTCACTCCTCTTTTGGCTGCTGAGGGAAACCACCACTGGGTAGCCAATAGGCAGTATTTTCACCATGCAGGCAGTGATATAGACATTTACATGGTGTTTTTAGAGGGACAGGGCACCATATGTTCAGCAGTAGTTTCTATGACTTTAAAAAAAGTTAACGTGCTTTGCATATTTGGTTTTAAAGGTTAACTAAAATGCAAAACAGTATTTGAATGTGTATAGTTGAAGAGTTTGCCATTGTGTAATTGCATGCCAGTTATATTATAATAAGGGACTTTGCCCTCTCAGCGCAGCATGTACACGATCACAGTGCTTTTCTAGTTTTTCCAACAGGATTGAGTGTTGTGTTCTGTTTCTTTACCTATATACTGTATGTACAAGAGTGCCGATTGATGTACATCATCATCAGTGTGTGCTTATGTTTCTATGTACATTTACATATGGGCAGCCATATTTCCTTGTTATGATCTTTTTAAAGTGGAGCTCCACCCAGAAGGGGAAGTTCCAGTTTAAGCCTTTGTCTCCCGCTCCCCATTAAGGATTGGCACCTTTTGGGAGCGGATACCCGAATTTGACAGGTGATCACCTTTGATAGGCGATCAGAAGCGGAACAGCGAGACAAAGGTGGTGCTGCGCTAATCCTATATAAAGTAAAGAAAAACTACATACCACTAATCAGCAAAGATGAATGAAAATGAAAAAAAAAATTAAAAAGGATCTGTGGTCATCAATAAAATATCAACATACAGTTGCAAGAAAAAGTATGTGAACCCCTTGGGATTACGTGGAGTTTTGCATGAATTGGGCAGGTCTGATCTGCAACTACAGGAAACGTTTGGTTGAGGTTATTGCTGCCAAAGGAGGGTCAACCAGTTATTAAGTCCAAAGGTTCACATACTTTTTCCTCCCTGCACTGTGAGTGTTTACATGTTATGTGCAATTAAATCATGGCAACATCTAATGTTTGTGTAGTATTATGTTCAGCAGACTGTGTTCTTCTATTGTTGTGACTTAGATGACATTCAGAGCACATTTTATGCCCAATTCATGCAAAACTCCACGTAATCCCAAGGGGTTCACATACTTTTTCTTGCAACTGTATATACAATACAAGTAAACACACCCAACTAGAAAATGTTGGACACACAAAAGGAAAAAAGTGCTGCACTAAGAATGGTGAGCAAATCCAAAACATATGAGAAAATACACAAGTGAATATTGAAAATACACAAGTGAAAGATATGAGAGTGAGAACGTAACCGCAAAAGTGTAATCATAAATGAAATAAGACCATCCAATAACACATGAGACAAAAAAAACCCCAATGTGATGGGTAGTTTCATGAGTGTATCAAGAGAAAAAAATATAAATGCGTGTAAATATAAATGACATATAAAAAGCATGAACAAATGTGACTGATAGTGCCAAAAAAAAGTGTCAACAAAAATGTGAACTAACAAAGTGGTGTAAAGCGCCAAAATAACTTTGTGCAAAATCCAATGGTATAACTACGTGTAAGACTTGATTGGTGACAGGTACTGTGATCAACCTAATAAATGTATCCACTACCGGATAAAATGGGTTCCAGTGACTTTGGAATGCTTTATAGATGTCAGAATGGAGATCTGTGAACAAGTTAGCATCTCAGAAACATGATCAGCTCCTCTCACAATATCCACAATGTTTGTGTACAGCGGTTCTTCTGTAACTGACAAGGTGACAGCAATTGATACAGCAGCCGTTCATACCGGTTGTCAACTACGAGTACCACCATGGAGATCTGCATGCGTAGAGTAATCCTTCCCCAGCTTTTAAAGCTTGCAGGCATCTCCGGTATGAACGGCTGCTGTATCAGTTGCTGTCACTTTGTATAAAGCATTCCAAAGTCCATGGAACCCATTTGGCAGCAAGATAAACCAAGTACAAACAAAACAAAAATTCATACCCTTACACAGGGGATCACTTGAGAAGGTATTTGGTCCACCATCGCTATGAGGGGGATACCACCACTGGATTACAACCTAAGGCCCAACGGGATCTAGACCTTTTTGCTGAGCGCCTTTCTGATGTGTGTTGGCCCTTAGGGGTCGCAGCGTGGAGGTGAGCAGGCATTTTAGCCAGTGGTGGATACATTTATTAGGTTGATCACCGTGCCTGTCACCAATCAAGTCTTACAAAGTTATTTTGGACTTTACACCACTTTGTTAGTTTTCATTTTTTTTTTACACTTTTGTTGGCACTATTCGTCATGTTTGTATGTCATTTTCACACGCATTTATATTTTATATATATTTTTCTCTTGATACACTCACGAAACTACCCATCACATTGGGGTTTTTTTTGTCTCGTGTCATTGGATGGTCTTATTTCATTTATGATTACGCTTTTGCTGTTACGTTCTCACTCTCATATTTATATGTTTTCAATATTCACTTGTGTATTTTCTCATATGTCTTCGATTTGCACACCATTCTTACAGGATTAGTGCAACACTTTTTTCCTTTTGTGTGTCCACCATTTTCTAGTTGGGTGTGTTTACTTGTATTGTATATATGTTGATATTTTATTGATGACCACAGATCTGTGGACACATCCTTTTTCATTTTTCATTTTCATTCTTCTTTGCTGATTAGTGGTATGTAGTTTGCCTTTACTTTATATAGGATTAGAGCAGCACTACCTTTGTCTCACCGTTTTCTCACTATTTGGTTATATAGTTGGGTGCTAGCAGCAATTCCTGGTTTTGGGGTTTAGATGTATCCCTTTTGGGGTATAGTGGCAGCGCAGGAGGTTTTCTGTGTTCAGGATCAGAAGCAGAAGTTGTCCTTGCCCCCCTTCTCTCCCCGTAGTCTTTTGGGACACGTGACAGGTCCCAGAAGACTACTGGGCCATTAACAAAACGCAGCACTACTCGCACATGCTCAGTGGGCACCCGGCTGTGAAGCCACATGCTGTCACAGCCGGGTACCCACACTGAAGATGCTGGGGAGAAGAGACAGCCGGTGAAAGCAGCCGTGGTGAGGACACCGCTGGACCGAGGGACAGGTAAGTGACTGTATTTTAAAAGTCAGCAGCTACAAAAACTGTAGCTGCTGACTTTTAAAATACAGTCACTTACCTGTCCCTCGGTCCAGCGGTGTCCTCACCACGGCTGCTTTCACCGGCTGTCTCTTCTCCCCAGCATCTTCAGTGTGGGTACCCGGCTGTGACAGCATGCGGCTTCACAGCCGGGGTGCCCACTGAGCATGTGCGAGTAGTTCTGCGTTTTGTTAATGGCCCAGTAGTTTTCTTATTTCTTTTCATTTATGTTCCCAGTTTTTTTTTTTTTTCCTTTTTTATTTGGAACTTGTGTGTACATGAACTTATATATTGGATAATGACTTTTTGATACTCCTGTACTCTCTGATTTTTAAAATGACTGCCATTGGTTTATATGTATCCTGTTGGCTACAAATTTGAAATGCGCTTTTGTATGCACATTTTTCCAGTAAAAATGAGTGTACAAAAAATTTGACAATCTCTTGCCTACTGTAACTGAATTTTTCAGTTCTCATTTTCAGGTAGAGTAAAATTTGGCTTTGTCTTCTGCCACTGTAGTCCATTATGTTCTAGGTATGATATGTTGTGCAATTAGAGATGATGTTCTGCACATAGCTTTTATAAAGGCTTGGTGTTTTTTTTTTTTCTAAGAAGTTGGGGACATCCTTCCAGCTTGAACACAACTGCTCCTTTCCCTCTGATCTCACCTGCTCACTTTTTTTTTTTTTTTTTCCCACACCATTCTCTATAAACTCCAATGATTTTAGTGCATGAAGAGCCCAGAAGTAGTATTTTTTTCATGTCAGGTAGTATTTTAGATTATGCACATTTCAATGTTTGGTTGAATGACAGTTGAACCATTTATGCCTATGTTTATGTAGCATTGGAATCGTTGTTTATGTTAACAAGCAGATGTACCTAATAATGTGACCAATGAGTGTTTTTATATGCATGTATACACACATGCCTTACCTGTTGTGATACAGATGTGTTCTCTATTAAACTTAGTAGTTAACTGAAATGTTGATAACTTTAGTTTATTGACTAAGAGTTTGTGTACTTTTGTTGTTGACTATTGCTTACTGTACTTTTTATTGTGTTTTTCACACTTATATGTCCTTTGTACTTTTCAGATCCCGATAGTCCTCATGGTAAAAGCCAAGAAGAGAAGAAGGCGGGGTTGAGTCGTCCCAGAAAAGACCATGCTTTATCAAAATCCGGTAAATTATTTTTTTTTTTCTCCTAATGGCAGAGAAAAATCCCTAATCATGATAACAAATCAGAGAGCAGAAAGAGGATACACAGACCTTGTGTAATAAAAGAAACCTCTATATAATAACAAAGAGCCTTGTTGCCAGCCATGGAGAGTGAGCTTGTGCTGTTGGAACTTAAACTGATTGTGAACCCTCACCTTGTAAAATTCAGTGTGAAATAGAAATGAAAGGCAAAGCATTTGTGTACATGTATAAAAACATAAATACCTTCTTTTCTTCTTTTATTAAGTGATCACATTTCCTATGTTCTCAGCTGCATAGGAGATGGGAAGGGGGGGTTGGGGGAATCAGGACAGGTCTGATCATTGGAGGAGAGCACACAGAGTTCCCAGCATAGCTAGAGTACGGCCCATGCTGTACTCTCCGGCCTACTGCAGTCAGTTTTTAATAGGAAAGTAGAGGGACTGGCAGGATCACCAGGGATTTCACATAGTGAGAACAAGATACTTTTTCATAAAGTGCATTGCAGGCACGTACTGTATCAAGTACCGTATTTTTCGCTCCATAAGACGCACTTTTTTCCCCCCAAAAAAGGGGGTAAAATGTCAGTGCGTCTTATGGAGCGAATATAAAGTGGCCGGTCCGGTATTTCTGCCGCCACCATGTCAGAATACCGGGCCGGCCGCTCAGCTGTTCTCTCCTGCAAGGCCTTACCTGTTCCTCGCTCCAGCGCTGCAGTCTTCCCGCGCTGGCTTCTGTGACAGCCGGGTGCCCACTGCGCATGTGCTGCGCTTTGTGAATGATCTGGTGTCTTCTGGGACACATGACAGGTCCCAGAAGGCGCCGGGCCATTCACAAAGCGCAGCGCTTCTCGCGCATGCGCAGTGGGCACCCGGCTGTCACAGAAGCCGGCCCGGGAAGAAGGAAGGAAGGAAGGACGGACAACTCCGCGCAAGTGGGAGCGGGTACCTGTTAAATTCAGGTACCCGCTCCCCCTCCCTCCCCAAAAGTCAGCAGTCTCTGGTCATCCCCTGCACTGTCTGCAGTCTCTGGTCATTCCCTGCACTGTCTGCAGTCTCTGGTCATCCCCTGCACTGTGTCCGCAGTCTCTGGTCATCCCCTGCACTGTGTCCGCAGTCTCTGGTCATCCCCTGCACTGTGTCCGCAGTCTCTGGTCATCTCCTGTACTGTGTCCGCAGTCTCTGGTCATCTCCTGTACTGTGTCCGCAGTCTCTGGTCATCTCCTGTACTGTGTCCGCAGTCTCTGGTCATCTCCTGTACTATGTCCGCAGTCTTTGGTCATCCCCTGCACTGTGTCCGCAGTCTCTGGTCATCCCCTGCACTGTGTCCGCAGTCTCTGGTCATCCCCTGCACTGTGTCCGCAGTCTCTGGTCATCCCCTGCACTGTGTCCGCAGTCTCTGGTCATCCCCTGCACTGTGTCCGCAGTCTCTGGTCATCCCCTGCACTGTGTCCGCAGTCTCTGGTCATCCCCTGCACTGTGTCTGCAGTCCATTGGTTCAGAATATTTTTTTCTTGTTTTTCCCCTCTAAAACCTAGGTGCGTCTTATGGTACTGATCCCCATGGCTCAGTATCTGGCTCAGTATCTAGCCTAGTCAGTGCTTCCACATAAAAGCTAACAAACTCATTGACTATACACTGACACTAATTGCAATTTAAAAAGCCACAGATGTGGGACATTAACCTCTAATTAGCATTTTTAACCCGTGTGTGTCACCTTGTGTGTCTGTACCAAGGATAAAAATTCCAGGGTATGTAAACTTTTGATCATGGCCATTTGGGTGATTTCTGTTATCATTATGATTTAAAAAAGAGCCAAACAACTATTTGATAATAAATGGCTTCATATGATCATCATCCTTCAATAAAAGAGCATTTTTTTGGCATGATCAGTCATATTTGCAATATCAATGCCAAAATTTCACAATTTCTGCCAGGGTATGTAAAGTTTTGAGCATGTATGTGTATGTATATATATATATATATATTTTTTTTTTTTTTTAACCCTTCTTTGCGCTTTTTAAAGTTCTCCACACCCCATTCTCCTTTAGATCGACCAACAGGTATGTGCTGCAAGAGCCTAGGTGATTGGATAAAAATTGATTGGATATTTTAAATAGATCCTCATAGTTTTGTACAGCGATTGTATAGTCAGATTGGAACGTGTATGATGAACCTAAGACTGCAAAAAAGTTTTGTCTGAAGTTCCATTTTATAGTGACAATGTTTGTATAGATCTTCCAGTGTTGTAACTTTTCTTTCTGATATGTGTGCGATGACAGGATTACTTTATTAGGAAAGGGAATGTCCCTCAAGAATGTATCAACATATGTTTTTTAACATGTTAGGCAATTTATTTATGTAATGCAGAATCATTGTGCAGAACTAGAATGCTTGTACATTCTATTAATGAACAAGAAAGGTCTGTGACTGTCCAACTTCTATTATTATATAAGACGTGTTCCCATTGTTTTTCTGTTGCGCACATTCATTTGGGAGAAAATGTTTGTGAATTTGTGGTTTTGCCATGAACGACTCAAAAAAGGGAATAGATCATCATTTATTTAAAAAAAAAAGCAAGTACTGTTTAACTAACAATGCATGCAGCATTTACCTTGTCAAACCTTTGATGGGTAGAAAATAATAGATTTAAATTATTTGCTATGAGAAATAAAGGTTGACACTGCATACTTTTCTAAAAGTAAAACTATACAATGAAATTGTGTGTTCAGCTTGAATTGGCAGGATATTGTATATTTAGAGGTCACTAGTCTTACAAAAGGATGTTAGGCATAAATTACTATATAAAAACTGTATGTACAGAAGTGTTTATTTTTCCAAGTGCAGAGGCCATCAGCTGAAATCATATGCACTTCAGGTGCAGGTTCTATTCACTACGTTAGCTGACAGATATTTGCATTTTCATGCTTTTTCCAGAACCTCATCTTGTCTTGAAAGTCGATGAGAGACAAAGACTTGCCCGGGAGCGCCGAGAGGAGCAGGAGAAAATCATGGGTATGTTTCTTTTGCATGAACTTCTTTCTTTAGATTTTATTGTTTTTGAACAAGCTCCATACTGCAACTGTACACTGTTTATTGAGGTTGCATTTTTTTTATGGCTGATCTAATGAAATCATCAAAATATGTAAGTGGTGAAATATGCTCTAAATATGTTGGTGAAGTTAAAAACAAAGAAACAGATGCATTTTCAGTGGTGATCTAAAAGTTGAATTCCCTTTGAGCTAATAAAAAAATAAACTTTCGATAGGTGATTAGGGTGTCAGCAGTAAAGAAAAGGTTTTGTTCAACCAGGTTGACGTAAGTGGCCATACACACTGCTCCTATGCTGTCCAGTCTGCCCAGCAGTTAAGACAGACCCTCCCCTTTAAATGCACTCTGAGGTCTGTTAATTGTGCAATATCTCGTGGCGTGGCACTATCATTTATACCATTCAGCCTCTTAATGAAAAAAAGACAGTTGTCCTACTATTTCTTAAATTTTGCTGTCTGTAGTTAGTTTGCTTAGATTGCCCATTGTGACACAATTTCTTGTCAAGAAAGGTGGTATCCCTTAAAGGAAACTTGTAACAAAGCGGTGGCCAAGGCAAATGATATCACAATCTCTACCACAGCCAATCAGAGGATGCCTTATATTCATTGATAAAAAATACAAGACTGTTGCTGAAAAGCTTAGGTTCCGTATGACCAACTGTTAATTTGCGAATGCAGAAGTAAAGTTTCTAGTAGTCAAGCAGAAAGACAGCAAAGCTTACTGTATGCAGCACAAGTTGCTGCAGTAAATTACAGAATTTACAGCAGTTGGACAAGTTCTGCAAAGGTAAGCATTTATCTGAACCAAGCTGGCTCAAACATACTCTGTTTACTTAGCAAAGTGCTTGCTCACTTTGCATACTGTTTCAAATTTACCCCTGTGGTCAGACCATTAATTTCAACAAAATATGACAATTATATGTGCATTGAACCACTTGATGACCAACAACATGCCGGTACACCACTGGAATTGATGGGTGATATCTCGGTCATCACTGCAGTTGCAGCAATTACTAAGAAGCCACTGGATTACTTTTACAGGCGACCACCTTTACTGGGCTCTCCTGAGTGATCAGGGAGCCCGGTAAGGATGCCACTGGCAGCATCGGTTTCCCCAAACACAGTGAGAGGAACTGATCTTGTTCCTCCCACTATGTGACGTCAAAAACCAAAAGCATAATGGATTTCTTCACTTTTGGTTTCGGTTACAATCTCGGTTTTATCTGCTGCTTTGGAGGTCAGAAGAGAGATCTGAGGTCTCATAGACCACAGATCTCTTCACAAAGAGGACTTGTCATGCAAAGGCAATCGCACCATACATGTGAGGTATCACCCTGTTGCTGCAGAAATACTGCGTGACATAAAAAATTGCAACACCCATTATTTTATTCCGTAGGGCCTCTGCTTAATAAATAAATAAATATATATATATTTATTTGGGAGTTCTAAGTCATCTCCTAGCAAAATAGTGCTGAGTTTTATGTGTAGGAGAGGAATGTCAGAATTGTCCTGGGGCTTAAGTGGTTAATGTATTTTTTGGAGGTTATCTGTAAAAACCTCCCTTGTGTAAACATCCTTAGACTGCTGTGGGCAGCTGCCACCATCTTTATTGTCCCCTAACTCTGGTTACAGTCCTGCTTTTGGTTGAGTGTTGTCCAGCATATTCCAACCCCTTCCTGTGCATCCAGAGAGTCATTGTCACACCTTCTGGGCACTGTACCATCACGTAGTCTGGGCTTGCAGTGATAAATAGAACTGTGTTCATATGTCATAATACGAGTACCGTTCTATACAGCATTGAACACTGCCCACTGCCATCATTATACACTTTCTGACCACTTTATTAGGTACACCTATTCAATTGCTTGGTAACACAAATTACTAATCAGCCAAGCACATGGCAGCAACACAATGCATTTAAGCATGTAGACATGGTGAAGATGATGAAGAACAGGAAATAGAGGCTACAATTCACACAGGCTCACCAAAACTGGACAATAGAAGATTGGAAAATTGTTGCCTGGTCTGATGAACCTTGATTTCCCTAGAGATAGTTGTGCATGAAAATTCCAGTAGATCAGCATTTTCTGAAATACTCAGACCAGTCTGTCTGGCACCAAAAACCATGCCACTTTCAAAGTCACTTAAATCTCCTTTTTATCCCCATTTTGATGCTCGGTTTGAACTTCAGCAAGTCGTCTTCTCCATGTCTAGATGCCTAAATGCATTGAGTTTCTGCCATGTGATTGGCTGATTAGCAATTTGTGTTACCAAGCAATTGAACAGGTGTACCTACCCCTACCCACGCCACCATTCGGGGCCTCAGTTGTCAATCACTGGGTCCCAGACGAAGATTACTCGCCGCCACCCGGTGATCGCTGAGTATCTCTGACGGGGGAGAGATCTGTATGTAAACAATACAGATCTCTCCCCTGTCGGCTTCTGCACACTGCTTTGTATGGCTCTGCATAGAAGAGCCATACAAAGCAGTGTGCTTAAAGTGAAACACAGACACAGCCCCCATAGTGAAAGAGCACACAGTAAACCCCTTGATTGCCCCAGATGTTAACCCCTTCCTGCCCAGTGCCACTAGTACAGTGTCAGTGCTTTTTATTAGTTGATTCAGCTAAGATTGGCACCACCAGTGCAGGGCTTGCTCAGGAATGGCAGCAGGCAGGTGTGAGTGCATCTGTATGCACAGTCAGGCAAAGACTTTTTGAGGATGGCCTAGTGTCAAGAAGGGCAGCAAAGAAGCCACTTCTGTCCCAGAAAAACATCAGGGACAGACTGATATTCTGAAAAATGTTCAAGAATTAAACTGCTGAGGACTGGGGTAAAGTCATTTTCTCTGATGAATCCCCCTTCCGATCGTTTGAGGCATCCAGAAAAAACCTTGTCTGGAGAAGAAAAGGTGAGCACTACCATCACTGTCTCATGCCAACAGTAAAGCACCCTGAGACCATTCATGTGTGGGGTTTCTTTTTAGCCCAGGGAGTGGGCTTGCTCAATATTTTGTCCAAGAACACAGCCATGAATAAAGAATGGCACAAAAACAGCAACTTCTCCCGGGACCCGGCAGAACCATACAAAGCAGTGTGCTTACAGTGTAAAGCGCACACAATAAAACAGCACACAGTTAACCGTTTGATCACCCCACATCTTAACCCCTCCCTGTCCAGTGCCATTAGTACAGTGTCAGTGCTTTTTATTAGCACTGGTCACTGGGGATGTCAGTGACACCAAGTCAGTCCCCCCCCCCCCCCCCCCCCCATGTCAGAATGCCTGCCACAGTCCGGCTATAAGTCGCTGATTGCCGCCATTACTAGTAAAAAAAAATAAAATAAAATAAAAAATTCCAGTATATATATTCCGTCATTTGTAAACACTATAACTTTCACTTAAACCAATTAATTTACACATATTTGGCAAACATGCAGCAGAATACATTTTGGGCTAAATTTATGACGAAATTTGATTTTTAAAATTTTTTTACTGGACATGTTTAATAGCAAAAAGTAAAAAATATTGTTATTTTTCTCAAAATTGTTGGTCGTTTTTTATTTTAAAAAAATGCTCGGGCGATCAATACCACTGAAAGAAAGCTCTATTTGTAGGGGGAAAAGGACGTAAATTTCATTTGGGTGCAGCGTTGCATGACCGTGCAATTGTCAGTTAAAATAAAGCAGTGCCTTATCACAAAAAATGGCCTGGTCAAGAAGGGGGGTAAATCCTCTGGAGGGCAAATAGAATGTAGATACCGTGGCAGAGCTATAGTTGGGCTGTAAAATGTTTGGAAATTCAGCTAAATGCACAGTTGAAATTCACATGTACTACCAGTCAAAAGTTTTAGAACACCCCCATTTTTCTTGTTTTTAATGGAATTAACGCATTTTAATGTTTCAGTGAACTCTGAAAGTAAAACCTAGAACAAATGAAAATTTGGACATAAAAAAGAAAACATGGCATCGTTTTCTACAACAAAATGTAATCTAAGTTTTTGACTCCAACTCAAAGTAGCCACCTTTTGCAGATATAATAGCCAAACACGCATGGTCTTCTTTCTACAACGGAAATCAAATATTATTCAGTATATTCTTCCCAAAACTGTTGCAGAAACTCTGCAAATGTTTTGCACACATAGGTTGCTTTCCTTTCACCCTTCTGTCCAGTTCATCTCAAACCAGCTTGATGGTTTGATATGAACTGTCTGCAGACTGTGCTGGCCATTGCATTCTTTAAACCCTACCATGTTGTTCTTCTAAGGTTGTTCTAACACAGCCTGGAGGTATGTTTCAGGTCATTATCTTGCTGTAGGATGAACCCCTGGCCAACTAGGTATATTCCAGAGAGTATTGCCTCCATAACAATAGAGTTTACATTTCTGTTTGTCCTTTCAAAATTCCCTGATTATGTTTCTGGCTCCAGTCCAATTATTTTGAATTATTTTGAAACTGTTACTTGTTCTATAACCCAAAAAAAAACAAATGACAAAGTATTCAAATGCCATCACAATCAACTTTTGCATAGTTTATAGTCATCCCTCTTTTTAACTTAATCCCTCCATTTCCTCTTTCCTTCTTTCCATCCATCTTTTTGACCTGAAGAAAAGACCATTAGATATGTACTGCTAGACACTTAAAGCTATTATATTGTACAACCCTTTATATCATGTCTTTTTATGATAGCACAGGGATTTATTTATTTATTTAGTTCAGGTACTTATATAGTAACCCTCAAGGAGTGTGCAATCTAAGGTCCCTAACTCACATTCATACATACACATACTAGGGCCAATTTAGACAGGATCCAGTTAACCTACCAGTATGTCTTTGGAGTGTGGGAGGAAACCAGAGTACCCGGAGGAAATCCACGCAGGCACAGGGAGAACATGCAAACTCCAGGCAGGTGGTGCCGTTGTTGAGATTCGAACCAATGATCCTAGTACTGCCAGGCGGGAGTGCTAAC